TAAAGACAGTTTTCTGTGGTGTAAGGTGGAATCACTTATCATCACCGGCACGTCCCATCCTGCTCTGGTCTATGTAAGTAAATAAACCCATGTCTTCCCCTGCTGGATCTCCAGGTACATTCTTGGGAACTGGTGAACATTCACAGATTTTGGGGTCCTGCCATGCAGATAGGTACTGTGACTCCTAGCAAGTTATTATAGAGAGTTTTGTGAACCCCTTCCAAAACTTGTAGTTAGTATCAATTAAGTGTGGTCTTCAGAATTAGGCCTGATAACTACATTCTTTGCCCAAACTCCTTGCAATAACAAATTATGATGGTAAGTGCAAACTCTTCAGTATCTTGTCTATATTACCAAACTTTGTATGCTCATTATATACTATAGTGTTGGCATGGGGCACACTTCCAATAAATATATGGGAAATTAATTTTAGATTGACTATACTGACATTGAGAACAAACAAGCATTTGTATAATAGTTTGTAAGACCACCAAAAAACTTTTAGCCAATATAATGATAGTTAATTGTCCAAATACTTGTGGGTTTTTTCCATCTATATTTAAGACAGGCAATTCTGTGAAATTCAACAATCTTTATTGAAAACTTTCCTTTACTAGAGAATATGCTTAATGCTGTCATTAGGGGAAATACTTGCCCCAAATAGTAAGATAAATGTGTTATACAGGTAATTGGATTTGGCAATGATTTCTCAGATATGACAGTAAAAGCAAAGGCAACAAAAGCAAAAATAGACAAATGAGACTACATCAAATGTAAAACATTATATATAGCAAAAACAAACAAACAAAAAACAACTAATAGAATGAAAAGGTAACCTACGAAATGGGAGAAAATATTGGCAAACTAGATATCTGATAAGGGGTTAATATTGAGAATATATGAAGAATTTCTACAACTCAACAACAACAAAATCTCAATGTAGAAAATGAGAAAGGGATTGAATAGACATCTTTAGAAAAGATTATCAAATACAATGGCTAATAGATATATGAAAAGATACTCAGCATCACTAATCATTAGAGAAATGCAAATCAAAATGATGAGATACCATCTCACAGTTGTCAGAATTGTCACGATCAAATGCATACACACATACACACACACAGCAGAAAATAAAGTGTTGGCCAGGATGTGGAGAAACTGGAACCTTTGTGCACTGTTCATAGGTGAAATGGTACCGACACTAGGAAAAATTGTACTCATATTCCTTAAAAAAACTAAAAATAGAATTACCATATAATCCAGCAATCCCACTTCTGGGTATTCCTATCCAGAAGAATTAAAACAGGATCTCAAAGAGATATTTGTACACTCGTGTTCATTTCAGTGTTAATCATCTAGCCAAGAGGTAGAAGTAAACTTAACATTCATAGAGAGATAAATAGATAAGAAAATGTGGGATGCACATAACATGGAATTTTGTAAAGATTAAAAGAGAGAGAGAGAGGGAGAAAATTTTGTCTTATTCTATAACATGGATAAATGCTGAGAAAATTATTGTGAGTGAACAAATCCAGTCACCAAAAAAGACAAATACTGGGTAATTCCATTTAGTGAGGTTTAAAGTAGTCAAACCTTTAGAAACCAGCAGTAAAATAGTGTTTGCCAGGGGTTGGAAAGCAATTTATTGTTCAATGAGTACAGAATTTCAGTTTCACAAGATCAAAAGTTGTAAAGATTTGTTCTACAACAATGTGCATATCACTAACACTAGTGTAATGTACCTTAAAAATGTTATTTTTTACATTATGTATCTTTACAATTAGAGAGGGGGGGAGGTCCTGTCAGTTTAGACTATGATGTACCCACTCTGTCCAAACAGATAGCAATGAGGAATAAAAATACCAAAATGTAGGGCCTAGGCTCAGCCATATAGCACAAGCGGAGAGGAGGCACTATGTCACATGGGAGTCCCAGGTTTAGATTCTAGACCAACCTGAATAGGCCAGGAGCAGTAACATATGCTTGTCCTCCTAGCGAACTGGAAGGCTGGGGTACAGAACAGTAACTGTGAGACTTTGTCAAAAATATCTCTCACATACACACACACACATTTAAGACCTAAATGACAAAGCCAGGACTAAAGCAAGGTAATCATCACTCTGGAATAGAAACACAAAGCATTGAGCAGGTAGCAGCTGCAGCCCTGCAGCCCATCAGTTCCTAAAGGAGGTGGTGCGGATCCGAGTCTGGCCCCAGACACTATACAGGAATTAAAGGCAACCATGCAAGATGAGGGACCAGAGCCAGGCTACCTGCTAATACCGGGTGCTGGGGTAAAGTTTTCTGCTCCAACTCTATGAAAGCTGAAGGAAAAAAATGCTTCCAGCACATTTAAGGAAGCTCAGTCACAGACACAGAACAGGAGACCTCAACCAAGCACACCCTGACAGAGGCCCTCTGCCCTGACCCCAATACTAATCTACAAAAGGACTCTTAAAATGATTTTTTAAAATCTCATTCTAAACTAGGGCTACTGAAGGCTGGATAGAAGCAATCAAAAAGTTGGTAGAAAATGAGGGCAGACCTCAGAGGAACAGAGAAGGGCAAAAGAGAGAGGGAGAGAGAGGGAAAGAGAGACAGAGAGACAGAGAGACAGAGAGAGAGAAATGTGCCTGTACATCAAAATTCCAACACATGAAGAATGAGGTCTAAATTCTGATATAATCTAAACTGAGTTCTTAAAATAGCTGCCAACAAAATCAATGATGAAAACACAGTTGCATTAAAAAAGAAACTCGATAGGAAAGTCTGACGAAGAATGTTAAGAATGTTCAGAAAGAGAAATGAATTAATGACTTTTTATACCAAGAAAAAAAAAAGTCAGTAACATTAGAAAGAAATAAATCAAGAACTGGTCTATATTATAAAGAAACCATTTTCACTCAAAAATGAAAAACATAGCTATTGAAGTCACAAAATAGTGACATTTATCCTAGACTAGATGGATTTGAAAGTTTCTAATGTAAGTCATATAAGTATTATCAGTACAAGTGATTAAAAAGCATGATAGAAAAATAAAAAATATATGAAGTAAGAGTTAAAATTTTCCAGAAATGAAGAAATATAATTCTTTGAATTAAAAGCACTTTCCAAATTCCTTGCCCAGCAAGTGGTGTGAAGGTTAAAGGGGCTGGATACCACATGGCCAACTCCGCAGTTTGAGTCCCAGACCCAGCAGCCTGAGAAACAGTCCAGAGAATAGAGAAGGGACTTACAGTGTGGTCAGTCATCCAGATGGTAATTTCTCACTTTCCCTTTCTCTCTCTCTGTCTCTGGCAGGTACACATGCCCTATAGCAAAAATAAACAAACAAACAAACACAAAATGTGCATTCCAAATTCCTAAAGAGATAAAATAGATTCACAACTAGATATTACAGTGAGTTTGCAGAACAGAAAGTATAAAGAAAAAAACTTAAACAATTTTCACACAGATTACCTACAAAGAGAAGAATATAAAACTCATCTTCAACAATAGATGCCAGAACACAATGCAATATTATTTTGCAAATACTGGGGAGAATAACTGCTCTATTCAGAAATTTTAACTATCTGGACTATAATTCAACTGTGAAAGGGAAAAGAAAACATTTTCACGTCTAGCAAGGCAGGTGAGTGCAAGATCCATAGAGCCTTATGCACAAAACATGTAAAGATCTAGTTCAAAAGAAAAGTAAACTCGGAGGGTCCAAATTTGAAACACACACAAAAACCATTTGCACAGACATTATCTTTAATTGATAAATGTAATGACTAGCTATAAAGAGCTAATCACACAGGTGATTTTATTATAAAATAAAACTAACCAAATTGGTGGGAAGGATGGTGACATTTACCAGGGATGAGAACACCCTAAGGTTCATGAACTATTTGTAAAGAAGAAAAAAACATTAAATGTATTCAGCAAACTGTAAAATTGTGTATGCATGCTTAAAAGAAAAAGAGCAATGACTAATGAAATAAAAATATAACCTAAAATTTACTAACTAGCAGACTGGCACAGAGGACATGTGAAATTCAGCTGCCTTAACCACCACACTACCCAGCTGGCCCCTAGCTTCATAAACTATTTACAAAATTTACAAGCAAGCAACTTTCTTATGAGAAAGCAGAAATATATATATATGTATATATATATATATATATACATATATATATGTTGTAGATACATAAATATACATCTTTATGTGTGTATATATAATTATTTATGTATATATACAGTGCAATCATACTTTACAATGCATAAATAATTCTCTTGAGAGTGAAACAGGCATCAAAATAGTGTTAACTACTTTAAACTATGTCTGCTGATAACGTGCCCATTAAAAGATGTTACACAACACTGTGTCCAACACCTTCATTTTAAAGGATCAGAAATTAAGTCAAAGACAGAGGTGATTTACCCAAAAAAAAATCTACATAGTAACTGAAATGCAAATGCAGTCTAAATGGTCTTGCCCCTGACATAGAGCTCATCCATAAATTCACACTCTCTTGGAATCAAAGTTACTACACGAATTTGAGGTATTATTTATCGCACGGATTCATCAAATATTAAAAATAAACCTACAGCCTATACTGAAAATTCTTCTTCTGTAATCTGGCAAAGGAGACACTCAGAAAAACTGAAGAATTTTCCTTTCCAAGCCATCTTCTGGGCTTGAATAAGAGATAACAAGAGAAAGGAAAAATATCTTAGTCCTTGAATGAAACAGAAGGGTAAAATTCAAAAGAAGAGTATCCTCCAGAAGAGGAACCTAGACTACATAGAGAATTTATATCACACAGAGAGACCTATCTTTAACATTCTAAACCATAAAATCCTCGTAATAATTCCAAAACAAAACAAAACCTGGATCAGAAAATATAAAATGACTTCGAATTTCAGTTTTCTTTCGTAATGTAACGGTTACTCCATTACATCTCAGCTCCGGTGTCCACGCACACGCGCACGTACACGCATTACCAGGTACTTACTGAGCTGTAAAGATAGCCTTCACCATTCATGGCCACATAGAGGCTGGCCTTCACCCCTTGGATGGCCACCACACGCAGGCCCACGGGAATTAGATTGAAGAGGGCTAGAGGGTCAAGGGAAGAAGACAGAGAGGAAAAGATCAGTGACACGTTCACTAAATCACTTTGCTCTACGAAATCATTTTATTGAGAATTAAAATGAGTTCATTAAAATAGGTGAGTAAAAGAGTTACAGAGCGATCTAAGAATGAGGACAACTGACTTCTTGTCTCTTCATCAGCACTAACTGCCTATGTAACTTCATGTAAGTTATATAAATTCATCCATAATAAAAGGATTAGATTATGAGGTCTCTAAAGGTCCTGCCTGCATCTGAAAGTTCAAGATTCTTATTCCTCAAAATGAACACATCTTCAGTGTAATATAAAGTTGTTTTTCCTAACAAAAAATCATTTGAACCCCAAAAATTCTCAACAGTAGGAAACATATTTGTAGTCATAAGTAATAATAGAATATGATCTTTTCATACATATGCCAAAACTTATTTTCAGTCTTTTCCCTCTCGTCCTGAACATTGTCTTGAATAAAGAAAATGAATGCAAAAATAAGTAACTCATTGGTAGTAACACTAGAGGTAGAACTATTCTCTTGATTTCAATTTTTTGTATAGAAGCAAAATACACAAAATTATATAAATTTTGGACCTTCTAACCTCTGGATAGACAGAGATGGAGGTGACTGATAGCTAGCCTAAGCTATAGTGGAGATATACTATAACTAGGAAAAAATAAATACGTGCAAAACACCAAAAATTAACTTGGAAAATTCAATTCAACATCCTGAAATGAAATGGGAACATGTTTGTAGACTTCAAATATATGAACTGCCCATCACTTGAAATACTGAATGGTCTATATGTCTACTTGTAGAAGATATTCATACCCCCAGAATAAAAAGATAAAGAAGAAGATAACTTATTTTCCTCCTGACAGTGTATTTCCATGATTTATGTATTTCTGGCAATATTCCAGTTACTTTTGAGATTACAAAATGAGCATAAGCAGAAAACTCCGCACCACCCTGAAAAATAAACTTACTTCACACAAACATAATTAGGCTCCATGGATGACAACATAAACATGAGTTCAATATCTCATCTCATGACTATATGCATAAGAGAATATCTTTCTGGTTTATTTTAATTTCTTGACTTGGTTTGAAGTTCTTAGACATCTTTTATATAAAATCCTTATTGGTTCTGGTCTTAGTTTTGAATGTAGTATACACATATAATAACTCAAAGGCTGCCATTAATCACGAAAGCCTCTATTTTTCCGGGTTTTTCTCAGTCTGGGATAGTAAGCTAAACACACACACACACACACACACACACACACACACACACACACACACAGTATTTGGTTTCTAATTGGGGCCAGCAGATGGTGTAATGGTTACATCATTGGATTCCCACATGGCCAAACATGGTTTGAGTCCCCAGACCAGCAGTTTGAAAATCACATCAGGCATGTGTGCATATGTGCCCAAGATTCCAAGAGGAGAATAAAGGGGAAGGGACTGTGGCATGGCAAACCCACGTGGGGGGTGATTTCCTACTTTCTGTCTCTCTGGCACGCACATGCATCCTATAGCGAAAACAAACAAACAAACAAAAAAACTCTCTAAAAAAATGATTTGGCTTCTAATCAACTGATCTATTGAGAGTTGTAAAGAAACAAGCATTAGATCATGAGTTCAGTAAAGCAGGATTCAATTCCTAGCTTCTGACACTGAATCCATATCTTAGTTTTTGAACCTGTTTCCCGATTTGTCATGAAAGTTGAGACTAGATCTTAGTAGTTGTTAAGGATTGTTAACTCAATTTAGAGCTGAACTAGTTTTAGTTTTTCCTGTGTTCTTACCACTGCTCTTGTGCTACTGAAATAACTTATGAAACACAAGACCTTAAAGGAAAAAAATTAAGACATATGGAATAATCTGATACAGTGTATAATTCACTTCTATAATTAAATTAAATATATGCATTCAATATATCAAATGTGTATATATACATATATATACACACACACATATATATATGAGCAATATATATAGCATATATATAGTTAGGTATATGTGTGTGTGTGTGTGTGTGTGTGTGTGTGTATACCAGTGAGCATACATGCCTTATAGCAAAACTAACCAAAAAAGGGGGATAGATATTGAATAAATCAAGAAGGAAACTTTACTAGGGCACAGAGTTTGGTGGATTTGAGGAGTAATGTGCACATATAGGAAAGGACCTGAAGTTTGGAAGGTTTCTTTTTGTTGTTTTTCTGTTTTTTGTTGTTGTTTTTAGATTTTTTTTTTTTTTTTTTTTTTTTTTCCTTAGATCACATCCACTCCCCAGAGTGAGATAGAATGAGAAGGAAAATGAGAAATCACCCACCAAGGGGATGGCCACTCCACAATCCCTTCTCCATTCTTCTTTTGGGATTTTGGGCACACACACACATGCACCTGGCATGCTTTATTTAGGCTTCTGGTCTCTGGGACTCTAACCACAAAGTCAGCCATGTGGAACCCAGCACCTTAACCACCATGCCACCTGCTGGCCTGGCAGTTTGGAAGTTTAATTCATACTGTGGAGAAATGATGAATACTACCATGTAAATATAGTAAGGATAATTTACTTAGAGTCTGTTAGTCTAATCTTAGAGATTTCGATTTTACCAAATGGACACGATGTGTAACACACACAGACTGCATCAACAACACAGGTGGTAAGAGTGTGAAACATCTGCAGACAAAATTTATAAATTTACCACTTAAGAGTCACATAGCTGGAGTCATTCATTTAACCTCTCTGCCTTAATTTTCCTAGCTACAAAATGGGCACCATAATTCTTACCCCACAGTTTAAAGAAAAACTAAACACATGTTTTTGAAAAATGTTTAATGTACATAGATGTATTCTCCCTGTGTAAAAACTGTCATTAATGACTGCTTATCATTTAGTGTTGCCATGGGGCTAATCTAAAAGTTGAAATATTGTTTCAGCAACACTTTAAGAGTTTATATTCTGTAGCTTACTGCTTGAAAATACAATACTTCATGTATATGTGACATTTAATTTGCACAGTGCTGATGCATTCATCAATTGTGCTTGCTCCCCAACTATAAATGCTATGAAAAATTTAGGACAGAATACTGCTACTGATACTGTTATTCAGTATTTGCTGAATAAATGAATGAATCAACAGTATTTTTGTCTCTAAGCATCCTTATTCATAGGCCTGCTTGGTTTGTATTTTCATAATTAAGCATGTAAAAATTAAAAATAATATTTATTACATATAATAAGTTCAAATATGGAATCTAAAAGAAAATCAGGAAACCTACAGGACACAAAGTCTGAGATGGCAGAAGCATGAAATGCATGAAGCTTGTGTATGTGCATGTGTGTGTGTGTGTGTGTGTGTGTGTGTGCATACGTGTGTGTGTGCATTCACAGACAGGATGATGTAGGGTTGAAGGGAATTAGAAAGAAGGGAATATTTTGAGAAATCAGTCACAACTAAGATATTAGATATCTTATAAAATGATATTGAACCAGAAAGAAGTACTTCGTTCTTTTTCTGTTCAACTTTATTTCTACCTATTATCAACACCAGATTATTCCAGAAACAAAGAAAAAGTAATAATCAATCCAAAACACAAGAAAAAACACTTAATGTAATAACCAATGAAGTTACAAAGATTGAGAAGAGAGTGAGGAAGAGAATTAGGGAAGAAAGGAGAGAGACATGGGAACCAGCAGTTAGCGTAATGGCTATGTCGCTGGACTCCCACGTAGTCGACCACGGTTCGTGTCCCGGACCCGGTGGCTTAAAACTCACGCCGGGCGCGTGTGCGTGTGTGCCCAAGATCCCAAGAGGAGAATGGAGGAGAAGGGATTGCGGCGTGACCATCCCCCCTGGGGGGTGATTTCTCGCTTTCTGTCTCTTTGTCTCTCTCTGTCTGTCTGGCGAGCGCATGCGCCCTACAGTGAAAATCTCTCCAAAAAAAAAAAGAAAAAAAAAAAAAAAAAGAAAGGAGAGAGACAAAAACAAGCTCCTTACAAATTTGTCTTTAGAATATGTAAATCCACTATCTCCCCAAGTACCTTCAAAGGGCAGACTCATTGTCACATATAATGATAAAAAGGCATAAAAGAATGGGACCAGCAGTTAGGGTAATGGCTATGTCGCTGGATTCCCATGTAGTTGACCGCGGTTCGAGTCGCAGACCCAGTGGCTTAAACACACGCCGGGTGCGTGTGCGTGTGTGCCCAAGATCCCGAGAGGAGAATGGAGGAGAAGGGATTGCGGCGTGACCATCCCCTCTGGGGGGGGATTTCTCACTTTCTATCTCTCTGTCTCTCTCTGTCTGGCGAGCACACGTGCCCTATAGCGAAAACCTCTCCAAAAAAAAAAAAAAACAACTCACACCGAGTGTGTGTGCGTGCGTGCCCAAGATCCCGAGAGGAGAATGGAGGAGAAGGGATTGCGGCGTGACCATCCCCTCTGGGGGGGGATTTCTCACTTTCTATCTCTCTGTCTCTCTCTGTCTGTCTGGGGAGCGCACGCACCCTATAGCAAAAAAAAACTCTCAGAAAAGAAAAAAAGAAAAAAAAATATTCTCAACAAAGATATCTTATTCTTATTCTACAAAATCTTTAACTAAAATATATTGGTACCAGATTATTGTCTCCTATAATTCTATAGTCTCAGGTAATATGTATAATTATAATTTTATGATAATAATATTTGCAGGCCACTAAATTAGTCATGAAATTAATATTTGTTTGTGTTATTTATCATTTATTAAAGTCAATTCTTCACCTTACCAATCCTTGATAGCAAAATGCTATTATTAAATACTTAGTAAAGTAGAAAATCTATGAGAACTGGACTGGTGGGAAGTGTATTCATGTTGTTTAAATTCATGTTACAAGCTGATGTGATGTACAGTAATTTGAATGTATAAAACAAATTACAATAATAATAAAAAAGAAAGACAAATGAAAGCTTCCAATATCCAAGTGTTTACATATAAAGGATAC